CCTCTTTCTGAGCTTCCTTCTCCTTCCTCTTTGGGTCTGAGGTCTTGGTTTTACATTTTGGGGGGTCTGTATACAAGCTTTCCACCATGGTTTCCCTTTCCCTGAGATCTGCGTCTTGAAGACCCACCCTGGGATCCAGTTATACCTTTACTGCCACTTCTATGTAGTTATTTGCTGGACTAGGTTTCTCAGTACCCGTAACATAGCTGGCTGATTGGGTTGCCACACTGCTAATTTCCCAGCATAATGTGGGCGTAAGGATGCAGCACACTCTCTTTAAGAGTCTGCACAGAATGGTACTAGGTCCAGCTCTGTGATATTACCGGGTGTAACTAACCCAGCCATTAACTGCATTAGACCCCATCGGGTTTAATAATTCATGGGGGTCTTCATCATTTTTCTATGTAGCTATCTCAGCTTGGGCCATGAAGTTACATCTACCCATTAGCGCTCCAAACATTATAATTAAATCCAGTATATTGGTCTGATCCATGACAACACACCTTTCTATAATCCCCTGAATTTCTGCTGTGGTACAGACACTCATTAGGCAGTGGAGTTCTGTTGTGCTTAAATTTTCCTTTTCCCCCAAGCAAAATTGTGCTAGTGCCTCATCTAGAAAAATTTCTCGTTTTAGGGTTCCCAGCCACTTTGCCATGGCTTGGAGGTCAAAGGCAGGCATCGTATTTACTATCTCATTCCCGATATCTGAATGACTTGAAACTGTTGTGCACTTTACTGCCGCTACAGTGTTTTGATCATCATGGTGGGCAGAGATTCTACCACAATATCTCCTCCCCAATTTAAAATGAGGTCCCAAGGGTCTGACCATTCAGAATCTTCAGTCATACCCTCCCCAAAATCACTGCAGCAATCTGTTTGCAAATCCCTGCTTAAATATTTAAAACGTAATGAGTGATTTGCAATGGTTATGGTCAATGGGGGCTCTCCCTGGCTCTAAAGTTAACTTCTTGACCATCCCCTTCTCTCTTTCTATTTTCTCTTTCTTTAATGAGTTCTTGCAGAATTTGAGATGTGTTAGATTCCCTTAAGGACAGGTACAGAAAGTTAATTGAATCTGGATACTGGTAGACATGCATTTCCATCTCTTCACTTCTATAGCAGAGACTTGCAGGTCCTGGTGCTGTTTACTGTTTTCATTTTTGCATCTAGCCAGTCTGAGAAACATAAATAAATTAATTAATGGAGTTCCCCTATCTCCTAGAACTGGAAGGGACCTTGAAAGGTCATTGAGTCCAGTCCCCTGCCTACATAGCAGTACCAACTATCACCCCTGATGAATTTTTGCCCCAAATTCCTAAATGGCCTCCACAAGGATTGAACTCACAACCCTGGGTTTAGCAGGCCAATGCTCAAACCACTGAGCTATTGCTCCCCACCAACATCTCATTACAAGTTTTCCCTAAGAGCCAGACTTTTCATTAGCATTGATGGCTTATATACCAACAAATATTTGGCCAGTTTATCTTCCAAATCTGAAGTTGTGTGCACATTAGCTAGTGATCGATCTGTTCAAGGCCTGTATCCAAATTTTTGTAAAATGTCTCTCATTTACAAAAATGCTCATTACTCATTTTCCTCTCCAGGAGCCTTTTTAGCATTTGGCTTTCACTTGACACTTTCTAATAACCCAATCTCCTATTGGGACTTAATAGCAATTCTTACCCTCCTTATTCTTCTTTGTCTTGTATCCTTAGAGTCCTATATGAGGGTGAATGGAGACTCTAAGCTTCTACCTTTTGGGCTCAACCCTACTGCGACTGAGGGAATGATATCTTTAAATTATTCCCCAGCAACTGGGCTGGAGAGTGGAATCCTAAACCCCTCTCCTTATTTGTCCCTACTACCACTGATGGTGTGTGTGCCATTAAGACAAGTCCTTGTTTTCCTAAAAAGTGAAGAGGGAGCGAGAAATCTAATTCTCCTCCTCTCTTACCCAAGCTTCTAAAACTGGGGGTGTGCACACCTTAATGATCAGTCACTTCAGTACCAAAAACTGCAGTATAATCCTTTAGTACTCAGAACTACTCTTCATTGACTCTCAACAAGGCAACAGTACATGCGTCCCTCTTTCACAATTCTCCACTAAAGATGTCATGCTCATAAAACGCACATGGGATCTTTATAGGGGGAAAAGGCAATACGCTGCATTTATTGAGAATACAATGGCAAAGCAGTTGATATATGCTTACATAGAGACACAGACACTCTATCTCTGTTTCTGTCTCTTTCCTGTCAGTGATGATATAGTTGCCAGTCTGTTGTTCACATTAGCTTGGTGGCCAAATAAGTTAAGTGCGAGGGAGGAACCAGGTTCCCTTCAGCCCAGACGGAGGTTCCAGTCTGACAAAAGGATGAACCCTGCTCTTATGGGAAAGCTGTCCTCTCTTTATAACGGTCCTTCTCTATCAGGATCAGGGAGTTTTACATCATGCTGTTTTTCTGACAGATGACTGTTATCCTGGTTATTCTTGATCTTTATTTTCTTTGTTCTGCCATGCTGAGCTGGTTTGAATCCCAACTGATAAATGCTCACCCTTTTTGTCAGTGTCCTGGAACACCAGTCTGCCCTCGGTTGTTATGCCTTCTAGTCCGTTCAGTATCACTGGTTCATTGGTGGCCTTCCTCCATATCTCTCCCACATTCCTTATTCTAGCACAGAACAAAAACAAGAACAAAGGTTACAAGCAAAAAAATTTTTAACAAAAAGCAAGTCATTGCATTCTTCTACTGTGTTATAATACATCTATTTTAAAACAAAGTAGCCATAAAATCCAGATCATTTCTACAATAGTTCTAAATCCTTTCTATAACAATTCTAAATCTATTTCTACTTCAAAATAGTTAAGAATATTAGCTTGGTGCATTGGAACTTAAATGCTTACCTCCACACTAAAAATAAAAAATAGGAATTTTTCTGCTACAAAGGTGTGATGGCTGATAGGCAGAATGAGCAATGGTGAGCTCAGAAGGTGGTATCTCGGCAGGGGACAGTGGTGCTGATTTAATCTTCTGTATTTGAGACTTCCTTGGTAGATCAGACAACTTGGAAGAAAACTAAGTTCTATACCTACTTGTGGGCCTGGTGCTTAACCCACATAGCTTCTAGGGTGCAAGCAGCCTGAGAGAGAGGAGCTTGTTTTACCAGCTGTTGGTATAAAAGCCAGTGTCAACTCTGAAGCGAGCCAGGTGTCTTGTCTCCCTCTGTTTCACTCATTCTTTCTCCCTTTCCTAGGGATCAGTCTATGCTCTTCCATACAAGTCGGATTTACTGAAGGCTCTTGAGAAGGGGAAGAACGTGAATGAGGAGGAGACTATGGAGAAGATCCACCAGTTCCTAGCAAAAGCCACTCCTGTGCTGGATGCAGTTTATGAAATGTACGCAAAAACGAATGCGGAACTGAACTACAAAGCGTAGCGCTCGCAAAGGACTCCTACCTCCAAGTATAAAGTACACACTACCTTAATCCTACAGTGGGAAACCTAAATCACTGCATAAATCACTACAAGCACGGGGGCTGCTCACTCTCATCACGTGACTTTGATTCCTAGCCTGGATATTCAGGGAATAGCCCATTTTTAAATAGTGGTCTATAGAAACAAAGCAATAAAATCATGATTGTATCTCAGATCTTTGTGGAACTACAAACACCAGTTTACCAACTGGAAAGCAAGAAGTAAAATTTTAACAGATTTCTTTAAAACAAGTCTGGAGGAAATGAGATGTAACTGACCACACTGGTTAGCTGCTCCTGTTTTCTGGCTCTGCCTCAGTTTTAGATAAGTGTGTCTCTTACAAAGATATTAGGGAATATTTTGGATTCTGTGCTCTGAAAAGGGCACAGTATAATGTGGTTAACCAGCTTGATCACAAGAGTGACTGAGAAGCTTCCAAAGTAATGCCAGAAATTTGCAAGAAAATAAACTGTCAGTGACTTTCCTGAGTTGCATTGAAATCTTGTAGAATTTGGAGTTTTCTCCTGTATGGGAATGATTTCTTAACTTTCTTCAGGGACAGTTACTCCAAATTAAATCACCTGTAACTTGTACATGTATCTCTTTAAAACTTTTTTGCTTCCAGAGACAGAAGTTGCCTTAATAGTGGTTTGTGGCACAACTAATCCTTATCTTAGGACAAGGAAGGGTGGGGCTTCAAATAAATGCTAAAAATCAAACATAAGTCTTGAATTTTTTTTGTCATCTCGGACAAGAACTTCTCCTCTAGTGCCCTGGGTATAGAATGTCTCATCACCCCATCTGTTAAATTTCTCATGGAGCATCTGTTTGATAACATGGGCCTTCACTCTACAAACATCTGGAGTCCTAAGTGTGCAGTTAGGTAATTTAGCTACTAGAATTACCTACAAGGCTATTTTGGATGTGGAGTCTTTGTGTTTTACCAGCAGATGGGGCAATTTGCTGTTCAACACTATCTAGATTTAATTCCACTGATTTGTAATTTGCTATTTTTAAACTTTGACTGTCTTGCTCCACCAACTTTTACCAGTGTGGAAGCACAGAGTAGTAGGGCTCATTGCCTGATGTCTTTTTTTGCCGCCTGTTTTTGGTTAAAGGCCACCTTGGCTCTCTTGACTTGGCCTGGAGTTCTATCTTGTGTTGAAAATATTTACATTGTTGGTTATGAAGCTCTGCTTTTCCCATCTAGTTCTTGCCCCCCCACTACAGAAGGGATGTGGATGCATTGGAGAGGGTCCAGCGGAGGGCAACCAAAATGATTAGGGGGCTGGAGCACATGATTTACAAGGAAAGGCTGAGGGATTTGGTTTGTTTAGTCTACGGAAGAGAGAGGAGATTTGATAGCAGCCTTCAACTTCCTGAAGGGAGGTTCCAAAGGCAAAGGAGAGCAGTTGTTCTCAGTAGTGACAGATGGCAGAACAAGGAGCAATGGTCTCAAGTTGCAGTGGGGGAGGTCTAGGTTGGAGATTAGGAAAATTTACCTAGGAGGGAGGTGAAGCACTGGGATGGATTCCCTAGGGAGGGCATGGAATCTCCATTCCTAGAGGTTTTTAAGTCTGTTTGACACAGTCGTGGCTGGGGTGGTTTAGTTGGGATTGGTCCTGCTTTGGGCAGAGGGCTGGACTCATTGACTCCTGAGGCCTCTTCCAGCCCTAGGAGTCTGATTCAGCCACTTGCTCAGCATTAGGAGAAAAAAGGTGGGTTAAAATCCAGCCAGATGTTCATCTGATCATAGCTGAATACTTGGTTATCTCAGTAAATTGTAAAGCTGCTGGCAAGTGCCAACGCTATCCCCTGTGAGCTACAGAACAAAGCACTGTCCAAGCCACGGAGAAGGTCCATATGCTTCTAGAGATGCTTCCCCAGTAACAAAGTGCCTTGGCCAGCATGACAGGCTGTTTTCTTGTGGGTTTGCCCACTGGGTCCTGCCATTAGGGCAGGGGACTGAACTTGATGACCTCTCAAGGTCCCTTCCAGTTCCAGTGTTCTGTGATTGTATGGTTTTAGTGTTGCTTTAGGTAGTCTGCTGAGACCTCTGGAGGATTATTCAGCCCTTTTGGCTTATTATAGTAGCTTCAGTACAGCAATAGGACGATGCTTTGTATAGCTGCCCCCAATCTTCCTGTGCAGTCTGCAGTCCAGGCTAAGAATGTCATAGTTTGAGCCCAATGTTGAAGGATGTAGCTGTGGCCTCAAACTATCAGCTTATGTAGGATTGGCAACTGGCCTCAACAAACTGGAATTCGGGGCCAGGGGTATGTCCAAACCATGTTTGTAAATGGGCTGGGAGAGGGCCCTCATGTGCTGACCAGCAGTATTCCCCCTCTTTCCATTCATGTGCAGAATAAACATATGTGCAGATGTGCACCATCAGTAGAAACACATGCTGCCAGTTGTGGGCATTTTACTAATCTGCTAGGTAGCTGCCCAAGTGCTCAGCGTACAAAGGACGCTGATCACCAGTGGTGTGATTTTTGAGCATTCATCAATCAGTACAGAATGAAACCGCTCACAAAACGGAATGAAGACAATTTGCCCATTTCTGGTCTTTCAGGGTCGAGTGAAGGGCCTCAGCTCAGCCAGATGGGGGCAAATGAGTGTATTGAAAAGAAGAAAACAGATTCTAGAAGAGTCAGCAAATGTGGAGGGGAGATCTCCCCCTGACAAATCTGTACCTTGCTTTGGGCAGGTGAAATGTGGGTTTGGCCAGCAACTGGCCATTTGCATTATTTTTATAGCACCAGCCTGTAAGTGTTGCAGATGCCCAGTCAAATAGCATGGACAGGACCTTGCAACCCAAGGGGCCACCCACAACATTGAATGGGGCCAGTGGCCCAGCTGGGGTATCCTTGCATGCAGATCAGACCACACCCTGTGATAGGGATATGCTCACCTTTCAAAGTGGCTTACTTTAAATACAAATATATAGTTTTTCGGTCGTCCTCCAGGGTGTGACTCTACTGGTGGACTTTTGGGAGTCCCAAGCCTGCTCACTCCATACACAGAATTAAGAGAGACTTCACTGAAGATAGTCAGGAGAGAACGGGGGGCCAGAAGCATTTATAGGCAGCAGCAATACTATGTTACTCTAAAGCAGGGCTACTCAACACGCAGCCTGTTTGTTTGCGGCCCACAGTGAAGTTTGGGGTTTTGCAGGGATCAACACACAGCCCGTGGGGGGGAGCCAGAACAAAAAAGTAGTCCATGTAATGGTCTTCTGTTGATATGCGTTTTAGTAAGTTAAATTCCTTGATTGTCATTGCTCATTGAAAGTGCTTTATAGGGGTGGAAATCAGGTAAATATTGTATTTTATTAATATCAGCAGAACTGATTTAAATAGGGCCGGTGTTGTGTAGTCTTGCTTTAAACTTTGTATTCATGCCCATCAGTGTGAAAGAAGCTATTTGCATATATTTGCCTATATATCTGCATGTACATGCAACCACACGTAAGTTGTGGCTCTCGGCATGTGCTGTATCATTGTGGCCCCTGGGACTTCCAAAGTTGCTCTAAAGGCAAGTGTTGCATCTTGATCTTGGTATAAGTATTACTTTATTTAGGCCTGTGGTAACCAACCAGTTCTGAAGCAGTAACCAACTAACTCAACTCAGCTGGGCAACTAGCCATGCTCAACTGTACAAATAGCCACATGCGGCTAGTGTGCAGGGCACCATGGATCTAGACACTGGCTTCTAAAGCAGATGTCATGTCAGTGCTCTGAAGGTGACAAGCACAGCTGTCCTATGTAAGGTAAAATGTGTTCCTAGGGATTCTCAATATTCTGTGGCGTGGCTGTGAGCGTGAAGCATAGTGGTTACAGTCACACTCATGATCGGGCCCCATCCTACTCCTCAGTGGGAGCATTTGCACTGAATGGAATCAGACCCATTGTTGGTGGCAAATACCAGTCCAAGAACACTCACAACAGCCAGGCTGGCTCTAGACTGGCAAGTTTTTCCGGAAAATCAGCAGCTTTTCCGGAAAAACTTGCCAGCTGTCTACACTAGGCGCTTGAATTTCCGGAAAAGCGCTGACCATCTCATGTAAAATCATCAGTGCTTTTCCAGAAATACTATGCTGCTCCTGTTCAGGCAAAAGTCTTTTTCCGAAAGACTTTTGCGCAAAAGGGCCAGTGGACAGCGCAGTACTATTTTCCGCAAAACAGCCCTGATTGCGAAAATGGCGATCGGGGCTTTTTTGCGGAAAAGCGTGTCTAGATTGGCCATGGACGCTTTTCCGTAAAAAGTGCTTTAGCGGAAAAGCGTCCGTGCCAATCTAGACATGCTTTTCCGAAAATGCTTAACGGAAAAGTTTTCCGTTAAAAGCATTTTTGGAAAATCATGCCAGTGTAGACGTAGCCCCAGTGTTTACACAGCAGTTCTGAAACTGGCTCCAGTCTGCTGGGAGCATCCCCGCACTTGGGCAGCTGGTGGGCCCTATTGCACAGGATCCTCCTTGCTCCCAGCTGTTCTCTTGGGTTAAAACACTCTCCAAAACAAACATTCTGGCCTTGCTCGGCTTCTGCTGCGCTGTGTTCAGACTTACAAATCCTGGCTTCCAATCCAAACTCCTAAAGAGTCTGATGGGTAGGGACAGGCTCCTCTAGAGCTGGCTATTGCAAGTGATGTACTAGATTCTACCAATACCTACTCCAGGGTAATTTAAACAAGAGTTGGCCTAGTAGATATGTAGTTAAGGCGTTCCCAGTGCGGGTATTCAATAATGATTCTGTCTTCAGTTTTCACCCTGGCTTTGTTATGCTTTTAAGAAGCATAAAGGATTGTCTTCAGAGGGGAAAAAGCAATATGCCACGTTGATTGCACATACAGCACAGAAATCAGCATAGGCATTCATTCACACACAAGTCCTGCAGCTGGTGTCCTAGTTACCACACTTATTGGTGCTTTTGACAGCTTACTCGCCAATTGGGCTAGACACAAGGTTGGTCACGCACTGATGCTCTGACACAGTCTTCACAGAAGTCACCAAAAGCTTTATGGCTACACCTGACATTTATAGTTCTAGTCCCAATTTTAGTCTATGGGTTTTACAGTGTCCTGCTGGAGTCACCTAATTGTGAATTAGTGTTTACCTCCAGGCTGCTTCCATTGTCATGCTCCATCAGTAGTTTGATGACTTTATCCTGAGAGTGACTACAGCTGGTTTAGCTCCTTCACAATCTCTTTCACAGGTGCAAGCCTTTGCATTAGGGTTGTCAATTCTGTCCCTCTTTGACCAGTGGGAGTTTGACCAATGCCTAAGTCACACCTCCCTGTTAACCATTCTGACCCTCTGGTCCAGGCATCTTCTGTCTCTTGCACTCCTCAGTTACACAAAGGGCAATTCATGTCAGAGAAAGCAATTTACAAAATACAAAGTAACAGGCAGGATTTCTTACAGACTTAAAAAGTTTTAAAATTCTATAAACAATTTCTTACTAACTTATGATGCCTAATACAAAATATATTTAATACTTAGCAGCTGCTATAAAACAAAGTTTGATACAAAAGCTATATAACTACAAAAAAACAAGCTAGAAAATAAAATCTATATAACTACTACTATGTCAGGCCTGTTGCTTTTATGCATCAGCCCCAATGATTAAATCCACAGGCAATGTATTTGCAGCAATAGCTAGTGTCATGGGCTCAGTAGCTCAAGCCTTGTCTATGGCTGCCTCTGCTCTGCTCCATGTGG